GTGTACTAATACACCCTGGTTCTACTTGTGTGTACTAATACACCTTGGTTCTACTTGTGTGTACTAATACACCCTGGTTCTACTTGTCGTATGTACTAATGTACCCTGGTTCTACTTGTGTGTACTAATACAGCCTAGTTCTACTTGTGTGTACTAATACACCCTGGTTCTACTTATCGTATGTACTAATGTACCCTGGTTCTACTTGTGTGTACTAATACAGCCTAGTTCTACTTGTGTGTACTAATACACCCTGGTTCTACTTGTGTGGTTTTACAGGTTCAACATGTGTGTACCAATACAGCCTGCTTCTAATTGCGTGTACTAATGTACCCTGGTTCTACTTGGGTGTACTAATACAGCCTGGTTCTACTTGTCGTGTGTACTAATGTACCCTGGTTCTACTTGTGTGTACTAATACACCCTGGTTCTACTTGTGTGTACTAATACACCCTGGTTCTACTTGTGTGTACTAATACACCCTGGTTCTACTTGTCGTATGTACTAATGTACCCTGGTTCTACTTGTGTGTACTAATACGCCTTGGTTCTACCTGTGTGGTGATACTGGTTCAACATGTGTGTACTAATACAGCCTGCTTCTAATTGCGTGTACTAATGTACTCTGCTTCTACTTGTGTGTACTAATACACCCTGGTTCTACTTGTGTGTACTAATACACCCTGGTTCTACTTGTCGTATGTACTAATGTACCCTGGTTCTACTTGTGTGCACTAATACACCTTGGTTCTACTTGTGTGGTGTTACTGGTTCAACATGTGTGTACTAATACAGCCTGGTTCTAATTGCGTGTACTAATGTACCCTGGTTCTACTTGTGTGTACTAATACACCCTGGTTCTACTTGTGTGTACTAATACAGCCTGGTTCTACTTGTCGTATGTACTAATGTACCCTGGTTCTACTTGTGTGTACTAATACGCCTTGGTTCTACTTGTGTGGTGTTACTGGTTCAACATGTGTGTACTAATACACCCTGCTTCTAATTGCGTGTACTAATGTACCCTGGTTCTACTTGTGTGTACTAATACACCCTGGTTCTACTTGTCGTGTGTACTAATGTACCCTGGTTCTACTTGTGTGTACTAATACACCCTGGTTCTACTTGTGTGTACTAATACACCCTGGTTCTACTTGTGTGTACTAATACACCCTGGTTCTACTTGTCGTATGTACTAATGTACCCTGGTTCTACTTGTGTGTACTAATACGCCTTGGTTCTACCTGTGTGGTGATACTGGTTCAACATGTGTGTACTAATACAGCCTGCTTCTAATTGCGTGTACTAATGTACTCTGCTTCTACTTCTGTGTGTACTAATACACCCTGGTTCTACTTGTGTACTAATACACCCTGGTTCTACTTGTCGTATGTACTAATGTACCCTGGTTCTACTTGTGTGCACTATTACACCTTGGTTCTACTTGTGTGGTGTTACTGGTTCAACATGTGTGTACTAATACAGCCTGGTTCTAATTGCGTGTACTAATGTACCCTGGTTCTACTTGTGTGTACTAATACACCCTGGTTCTACTTGTGTGTACTAATACACCCTGGTTCTACTTGTCGTATGTACTAATGTACCCTGGTTCTACTTGTGTGTACTAATACGCCTTGGTTCTACTTGTGTGGTGTTACTGGTTCAACATGTGTGTACTAATACACCCTGGTTCTACTTGTGTGTACTAATACACCCTGGTTCTACTTGTCGTATGTACTTATGTACCCTGGTTCTACTTGTGTGTACTAATACACCTTGGTTCTACTTGTGTGGTGTTACTGGTTCAACATGTGTGTACTAATACACCCTGCTTCTAATTGCGTGTACTAATGTACCCTGGTTCTACTTGTGTGTACTAATACAGCTTGGTTCTACTTGTGTGGTGTTACTGGTTCAACATGTGTGTACTAATACACCCTGGTTCTACTTGTGTGTACTAATACACCTTGGTTCTACTCGTGTGGTGTTACTGGTTCAACATGTGTGTACTAATACACCCTGGTTCTACTTGTGTGTACTAATACACCCTGGTTCTAATTGTGTGTACTAATACAGCCTGGTTCTAATTGCGTGTACTAATGTACCCTGATTCTACTTGTGTGTACTAATACACCCTGGTTCTACTTGCGTGTACTAATACACCCTGGTTCTACTTGTCGTATGTACTAATGTACCCTGCTTCTACTTGCGTGTACTAATACACCCTGGTTCTACTTGTGTGTACTAATACACCCTGGTTCTACTTGTGTGTACTAATACACCCTGGTTCTACTTGTGTGTACAAATGTACCCTGGTTCTACTTGCGTGTACTAATACACCCTGGTTCTACTTGTGTGTACTAATACACCCTGGTTCTACTTGTGTGTACTAAGACACCCTGGTTCTACTTGTGTGTACTAATACACCCTGGTTCTACTTGTCGTATGTACTAATGTAACCTGGTTCTACTTGCGTGTACTAATACACCCTGGTTCTACTTGTGTGTACTAATACACCCTGGTTCTACGTGTGTGTACTAATACACCCTGGTTCTACTTGTGTGTACTAATACACTCTGGTTCTACTTGTGTGTACTAATACACCCTGGTTTTACTTGTGTGTACTAATACACATTTGTTCTTGTGTGTGCAAATATACCTTGGTGGTACTCGTGCATATCAATATACCTTTGTTCTCTCTGTCGTGTGTACTAATACACCCTGGCTCTTCTTCCTGCTTGGCAAAGGTACAAGAGTGTATTGAAAGGTCGCACTCACAAAAAGAATAAATAAGAAGAAGAATTTGTCATTATTGCACCTATCATGGGCATGTGTTTCTTGTGTTAAAAGCGGTGTAAAACTCCTTCGGCAACAACAGGTAGATCCACCGTCACCACTGCTCAGTCTGATGTCTGTTGACCATATATTGCAGCATCGTTCCCCCCACTGCTTTTGTTCACTGTGCTGATACTGTGTCCAGTGGGAAGTAGAAGGTCAACATGTCCACTCGTGTATGCACTGCCTGCACGGTCACTAGAGATGACCCTGGGTTGCCAGGATCCTATGTATCGTGTGTGTATGTGGCTGGTCAAACTTCACCCTGATTATGGCCTCGGTCTGTCAATGCTATACACCTGCAGCTGCTTGTACAGTCTACCGAAGTAGACGTCCGGGTGTCCAGTTTTCCTAGAAACTACAAACATCATCAACAGGTCACGGGGTTGAAAATAGTTGCCAAAACGTATACATTCTGCACAGGTGTATACGTTTTCCCCTACAGTTTATTAGAAGTCTAAGACATGCGTCACTTGAATACATGTCAGTGTCTGATATAAACCGCACAGTTATAGACCCTATCAGAGACAAGATACGCAAGTCATGGGTTCGAATCCCACATTCGTCCCGATTACGACCCTTGGTTTCTAGGGGTGAAACGGTATATCGCGGTATTAGTAGAACTGCGGCATTTGCCTTCGGTTCGGTATACCGTAATGAAATCCAAAAATTCGGTTTTCGGTTTCGTACCGTCATATTATGAACCTTTTTAAACCTTTTCTAAAATGTCTAGAAATTTCCTCAAAATCTATGCATTTCTTTGCTTGACGGCCGCTATTTTATATTTCATATTCCCAACCGAAACTGACCAAACCGAAGGACTTGTACCGCAATACGTACCGTACCGTGGTAAGAGCGTACCGTTTCACCCCTAGTGGTTTCTATATTATTATTATTATATATTAGACACTGCAGAGTTCACGGGTCCTTCGCAGAAAGCCCCCGTCAGCTGATTGTGAAGTGAGAGTGGTGACGTTTTTACCCGTCTTCATGTTTCCACCACGTGGGTTAACGTTGGCTGGTTGGTTTGTTGTTTAACGCCGCACTCAGCAATATTCCAGCTATATGACAAGCGTGGGTTGCTGAAGACCAATTCTAACCCGGATGGGTTCGATTAACTGCTGTAATGCATCACTCTATTATCTACGATCTGTTAATCTAAGAACGTTGGGTTTTGTGTATCCGTTGGATAACCACATGAACTCATTCGTTTTGTTTATGTTTTTGTTATCTTACGGAGCAATCAGCAATATGATGCCTCTTGTAAATTGCCAGGCCAGACAGACTAGTGACTGACCATAAGCAATGACACAGGCTGAACCAAGTCCACATATCTATTCATATTAATATTCACATCTCATGATTCGGTATGTCGACAGTATTCCATGAATTCCCACATACCATAATTCGGTCGCGTCGACAGTATTCCATGAATTCCCACATCCCATAATTCGGTCGTGTCGACAATATTCCATGAATTCCCACATCCCATAATTCGGTCGTGTCGACAATATTCCATGAATTCCCACATCCCATAATTCGGTCGTGTCGACAATATTCCACGAATTCCCACATTCCGTAATTCCGTCGTGTCAACAGTATTTCATGAATTCCCACATCCCATAATTCGGTCGTGTCGACAGTATTCCATGAATTCCCACATACCATAATTCGGTCGTGTCGACAGTATTCCATGAATTCCCACATACCATAATTCGGTTGTGTCGACAGTATTCCATGAATTCCCACATCCCATAATTCGGTTGTGTCGACAGTATTCCATGAATTCCCACATCCCATAATTCGGTTGTGTCGACAATATTCCATGAATTCCCACATCCCATAATTCGGTCGTGTCGACAGTATTCCATGAATTCCCACATCCCATAATTCGGTCGTGTCGACAATATTCCATGAATTCCCACATCCCATAATTCGGTCGTGTCGACAGTATTCCGTGAACTCCCACATCCCATAATTCGGTCGTGTCGACAGTATTCCATGACTCCCCATATCCCATAATTCGGTTGTGTCGACAGTATTCCATGAATTCCCACATCCCATAATTCGGTCGTGTCGACAGTATTCCATGAATTCCCACATACCATAATTTGGTCGTGTCAGTCGACAGTATTAAAAAATGTATACGAAACTAAAACACACACATACACAAATTTTATGTTTATTTCAGGATGACATTATACATACAACAATATTTAAAATGTGAGCATCAACTTCAAGTTGCATTGAAATTGAGTGCTGAAATAGACACGTGTGTCACGTAGCACTAGGCGATGTCAATTTCACGTTGACACGTGAGAAAATGCGAGATTTACAACATTATGGAATATGTACACCAGGGGGCGCCACAGCTTAATGACGGACATCACAGGGTACCCGAAAATGATTTCAGATCATTTCGTCCAAATCCGAATAAGAAACAGATGAACTGACAAATCATGAAAAGTAGCATAACAAATAATAACTACTTTATTATATATACACAAAATCGCAGGGCAACAAGATGCGCCTTCAGCCCCGGAAAGGTGAAAGAAGCAGTCCTCATACGTTGTGTAAGGATAATAAAGTCGTTATCCATAATACCCCTGATCGTGATTACATCAAATTCTAAATGTCTGGAAAGACTTCATTCTCTGAAGCAAGCAGGACCATTAATAACGTATTTATCCTTTAAATCTGAAAGTGATAAGTTGATATTACTTAGCATTAAATAACGTACAATGTTTCATAAATAGTTTATTTTTAACAGGCAATTCAAACCATGAAAGAGAGGCGTTGGCACACGACTCATTGAATCACGTCTTGTACCAGTACTGTTGAGGCAGTAAATCTATTCATATATATTACGAGACATTAAATTTGTAACATACACCACTGTATTTTTTCTACGCCAAATGGAATCTATTTCGACGTAGTCTGACTGGTTATTCCGGCTCTGACGCTCCATGTTTATACAACATATAAAATGTTGATGAAGCAAGCGCGATGGAACTTAAAAACAAATAAACGGTGCTTCTAGAACAAGTAGTCAATTTTGACGAAAAAACAATTTTTCTAATGATGGTCGATCCTGTAAAACTGTATCTGCGCTAGTAAGGCAAACATTCAGTCGTTTCAAGCAAACATCTCGGAAATAAATCATATCTAAACTGCTGTATTGAATTAAACTATTTCCATGAATAATGCCTGATCACTAAAAGGACGTCTTCGAGTCCGTTCATGCTTTCGAATATGTAAACAGGTATGAAAAAGGGTCTAAAACACAAAGCCTTTCCGAAACATCACAGATCACCTTCACCCTGGCACTGTAGATAAAGACAGCTTATGATTGCATAGATGTTATGAAATATATGCGACTGTCTAAACGATACAACATTTCCAATTACGCTCACGTATTTTTATAACTATAACCTTTCAACAACATCAGACAATCATTCGTCTGTCGCCAGTGGGTAAGTTTTCGGAGACCAAATATTATTAACGAGGGCAATTTGTCAAATCGTTTCGACATTTCCAACAAAATTGTTTTGATATTTCTTGTATCGAGAACAAAATGCCAAGGAGAGGTTAGTGTAAAGATGAAGACTAAATACATCGGGCAGACAAGACGACCTTCACCTTCATAAAGTCCCCAAAAGAGGAACAATGGGACCTCTACCCTGGAATCATTAACACATTTCTTTCACCTTGTCAGGAAGATTATAAATTAGTGCTTTCACTGTCGGACTCTGTTAATTACTAGTTCTGTTTTAAATACAATACGCATTCTACACTTGCCTGCATAATATTATGTTCTCCCAAAATATGGTCCAACGTGCTTGCCATAACATTTTAGATCAGTTCTCAAAACACTCGCATATTGTATCAAAATGACGATTGACAAACAGATGATATATACAACATCCGTGAAACTATTTACAAGGTTGTAGCACTGTCAGTGATGGGGAACATGATGATGTACTTTCTGTCAATGATATGTTCGATATGACCATTTTAATCACAAAAAGCTATGCTATAAAGAGGTGAAATATAGGCATACAACGATCGGCAAGGAGGTATAGACGCTTTCATGCGCCGTAAAACTACATTCAAAAGACAGTATCCATGCCAACAATAGACAAAGCTTAATTCAACAAATGCATCGTTGAATTAATAGCTCACGAATTCCAACTTTAACTTCAGGTTTCCCACAATGTTCTGTTTGAGCAAACGCATGCCTTTAGGCAAACTAATACTTTGAGCTAAAATTGTTGTGATAAGTTTTCGGATTTCCTTCACATCATTCCTTTCAAAATATTTTCGAAAATTGGTATGGTATCGATCAATGGGGAAATCAACCATAACCATAAACATAATGTGAAACTTACTTCCGGTTCCGGTAAGGATCACACCGTGTTTCCGGTTCCGGTGTTTCATACACTTCCTTGGAGTTTTAGCTCTCTTACAAAAACAGTTACACAGGTAGAATCCGAGACGATGTGAAGGAAATCATTACGACATTGGAATGATTTCTGGCAGTGTAATCTTCAGTTTCGGGAGGGAATAAACATTGCCCTCATGACAGAAAATGGCGAAATATACACAATGGAGACTTTCATGTAATGTACATTGAGTAATTAGTTCGATACAAAACTTGTACACACTCTTTCAAATCACTTGAATACGTGGAACGCCGGTGCTGAAATGTTCATCATATCATCTTTTGTTTCAAATGTGAAAGATTTCGTTTACTTAGACTGTATGGCATTTTCGTCAACAGATGACAATAAAACATTCAGAGCACCTAGTAGTTACTATACAAAATTATGGCACTTCATTCACTGTTTTCAGAATTGTGGCAATAAATTCAGTTTCAGTTTCTTCAAGTCATTTGATCAAATTTGTTTCTTACGATCCAATACGGTCTGATTCGTGTTTCCAACAAAAGTGATGGAATTTTAAAGAACACTTTACTTGAAACGTCGACCTGTATTTTAAAGCTAATATTCATAATCATAATTATCATAATTTGTGTATCGGTTGGCTTGATCCACTTTGTCCTGAGCGCTGATTGTCTCTCCTTTGTGTTTCTTCACAGGTGACAAACACCCCGCGTCTCAATACGCTCCAAATACACACGAATCATTCAGAAGTATCGTTCATGCTCTCGAGAGATCTCGTCCATTCACACGCGTCCACACTCATCCGTCCTCAACTGTCCTGCAGTTCAATATTTCACAATAAATTACTCGTAGCAATGGATCCACACTGATGACAACACACATCTCTTTCAAACCTGCAAAAACAATTTCGTTTCACTTCCTGAGGAAGAACGTTCGCTGTCCGTACATCGGTTAACTTTGCCACAACTACTGCACGTGGTGGGCGCGGCCTTCCGAGGGTCGCACTGTTTCTGGTGTAGCGCAGGGACATGTTCATGATAATGATAACCCTCATAATAGTCATTCCTCCTCCTTAACAAGTACATCGCGAATATAATGAGAGCCAGGAGCACACAAACGCCGGCAACAGGGACGGCGATGTAGATGGGGTTGATGATTTTGGCCCCGTCTGCGTTAGTCCGGAATAATGGATCAGAATCCGGGTTACTGCATCTAGAGGGCGCTTCATCTATTTCCGGTTCCGTTTTCTGCGTGATAACCTCTTTTTCCTCTGTAAAAATACAAATTCTTGTTATAACGAATCAAGATTATGTAATTGTGATTACTTACATTAATGACGTAAGAGGCGACTAACGGGATCGGGTGGTCAGGCTCGCTGGCTTGGTTGACACATGTCATCGGTTCCCAATTGCGTAGATCGATGCTCATCATGTTGCTCACTGGATTGTCTGGTCCAGACTCGATTATTTACAGACCGCCGCCATATAGCTGGAATATTGCTGAGTGCGGCGTAAAACTAAACTCACTCACTCACTACATTAATGATGACATGTATTGGAGACTGATATATTGTTTGAGGTGTAATGTTAATTCACAAATCAATATCGAGGCCTCATCAAAGAGACATTTGTATTGAGCAGGTCATGTCATCAACACGCATTCCTCCATTCAATACATGTAATGGGATACACCACATTTAGTTATTTAATCTGCACATAATCGGGTAATTTATCAAATCGAACAGTGTTCTGATAAGTTTGAAGTCCTCATTTGTCATCCACAAAAAGCAATCAGGCAACATCGCCCGGGAGATATCGCCACAATGAAACTACATCACAATGCTCTGACAAAGTCTTTGGCTACCATGACACACACTCAAACGAATTCTCTGGCACTGAAATATATTTGCGCGTACTTTTTACACACGATGCACTTATTATGACGGCTTAAGAAATGATTTTGGATAACAATTATAATTTCAAATAGCTTAATATCATTGATATGTATATTTGAATGGAATTTTGACAATAATATCTCCCACTGGGCTAATTTCATGATGTAATATATTCAATTTTATAGATGAAATGTATGGTAAACATGTAACAATTTTTTTCAGCATATAACACAAGCATATTTGGTTTATACAAATCATTTCCATCATATAATGCATTTTTGACATTTCAGAGGAAAATGTGTACCACCGTGAGAAGATCAAGTTCTAGAAGCCCATTACATTTTACGTATGCTTTAAACACTTTCATGCTATCTCTATAAAAAAATATAACCGATATTCGTCATATTCATTCAAAGAATATTATTCATAGAATAACAGCACAACGCTTTTTACACCTGGCATTTTTTGTACTACGGTATTTCGGCTTGAAATCCCCCGTACTTTATACAGTTACACTACCGTTCAAAACAAAGTTCCCCGGAACGTAACAGAGCGCGACCGTGGCGAAGAATGTTTGCGCACATTTAGGCCAAACAGACGCAGAAGCATATAATCGTTACCGGTTGCAATCGGAGGGGAATTTTGTTTTGAAAAGCGGTGTGCGGACCAATATCAATTCTTCACTATGAAAGAAAAAAAAGGTTTACCTGTATCGGATGGCAACGTTGGCAGGACGTTCCTGTTGCAATCTTCACCTTTACAGCAGTACATCACGGGCCAGGGGGTGTTGGGAAGATTTGTGGGCTTCCGATTCCCACAGTTGAGCGGGGTTGGGCTGTCGATGCACCCTCTGGTCAGAACATCATGGAGATATTCAACGTAACAGAAGTTTTTCGCGAAGCAAGATGTCTCCCCTTCCATTCGACATTCTTCTGTGTTGCACTGGCATCGGAACGATGCTACAAATAGAAAAACTTTAGTTAGAAAAACATGAAGCACCATATCAACAGCGAGTGAGTGAGTATGGTTTTACGCCGCTTTTAACAATATTCCAGCTATATCACGGCGGGTGACACCAGAAATGGGCTTTTTTACCCAAGTACCGAACCAGCAAACACTTTAACCAATAGCTTACCCCACCGTCCTAAACACAAGGAAACGTAACTAGTGTAACATATTGGGTAACAAGAACACTGCAAGATGGCGGTGTATCTGAGCGCCCCCTGTTGGTCGCTGTGAACGCTACACATACTTCCTTTAAAGTCATGTGTTCGAGCCTTGCACTGGCATAACGTGTGCTTCTGGTCTTGATGTCACAACCGCTATTTAAACTCTTAAAATGGGTCGTGTTTGTCTTTTATTATTTATATGTGACTTCATTTTTCACCCAATGAATGAATGGCCACTAAAGTAAACATTGCATTTTCTGAAAAAAAGTCTTCTCGTATTTGTAGGAATGTTGGATGTTGGAACTAGTTGCTTAGAAAATATGACCATGAAGTATTTGCAGTAGAAGTGTTTTCCGATACTATTTGTTGCCTGGTATGAGCAACACGGTAGCGGAAAGCTAACCAGGGCCCTGTGGGCTATTTTAACAGCCCCAACCATGAATACAATAATTACAGACGATATGCTACACACTACCCTCTAATAGGCACAGAGTGCTAAATTTGGCTCTGATCTTTGGGAAGTGATTTTATTGGAAGATCGGATAAGTACGACTTTTATTTCCCGTGTCCAAACTGACAAGTTACATTGCAGCGGAGAACGTTGCCGGATCGTATAATCAATAAAACCATGTACATTGCAGAAATCAACAAGATTTTCCCAGCTTTAAATGACAGCACTTCGACCATGTGAAAATATCTCGAGTTCTTCAGCTAAAATGGACGGGGAATGGCGTGTACTTTTCACAAGCGATAAGTGTGTTTACAGCCAATCGAAACATGGCGGGTGTTCGTCTCGGATGAAATTGATGAGTTTAACCGAAAATAGACGAGCTTGATATACAGCTCATCCACTTCAGATATGGTGGTCATTTCGCCACGAGGTAAACATGCTCGAACATTGCCCTGACGATTGATTGCTAATCAATGGAGCGCCATTGGGAACATACAACAGTGACCTTTTCCCTCCTCGGATGTAAGTCACAACTAATACCCGATACGCCTTGAATGATAGGTATGTCGGGTGTTAAACGTTAACTATCTGCTTGTTTAGGCTTCATTGAGAAAATACACCAGGTTTCCAATCAAATTGAAATCTTATGAGCTTGCTGTGTCTAGAAATGCGACCTTTGACCCCATTCGGCGGATCTATATACAAATAGGATTATCCTCGCGGCTTTAACACGATTACTTATTCACGGTCGGTAAGATTACAGAGGAAAAATAAACAGAAGGTTGTGTGGAAATATGATGCCCTGCTTGTTCAACAGCTTGTCTACTTCCCAACTGGAGCTCCATATTTCATCTCTCCATACAGAGTGAGTGGAAGGGCGACATGTTTACTCAAGTTGGCCCGGTCGCCATTTCACTTATGCGATTACCCTACTCAGATGGGTGGAAGTGTTTCGCAAAATTAATTGACAGTTGATAATGTATTCCAGAAATACAAGGAAACAATATACACGTCTACATCTACACTGTCTAATGCTTCCGTGTCTACTGTCTATTGATTGAACAATCTACAAAGTTTATACATGTTTATAACGCGGAACTTTATCGCTTACTGTGTACATTGCATCGTATGAATCATACTTTCGTTTACACTCCATAGTATCTTCACCGTCTGTAGCTATCTCAAATTGTCCCTACGAAGCCATAATCGAAGAGCGATTAACGTGGAACCTCTTTGTGAACCAAACTCGACCTTACTGACCCGGAAGTGACGCACGTGACAACCTGACACTGACATCCTGTTGCTGATAGGCGCGTCGGAATTGAAACGAACAGTGAAAGTGATATGTTGCGTTATTTACACCGTCAGTATATCAGCTTCGATAAGCGCTGTATAATGTGATAACCGCTGTTATATATTCTCACCTTTCATCTAAAAATATTTGATTAACTTTTCAGCTTCACTACATCTGGTTTTTTTGCTTACAACAAAATTATACCAAATATCTTAACCGTTGAAAGCATATATGTAATACAAAAAATAGTTTTTTAGGCTTCGTGCAAAAACACCCGATGGTAACCCATCTGTATAGGTAATGTTATCTGCCACGGATAACTCCTCCAGAAGGCGCCGCGAATCATGGCAAACCCTTCCGAAATACGATATATACCCACTGATAGGATGCGCCGAGCATCTTAATATTCAATATAAATATTAGTGTATTAGCGGTACACGAGACTACAGTGTAAACTCAGCACTTCAGGGGTTGCAGGAATTAGCATAAATGTTTGGAAACGTGACACCGTCTCGGTCAACGATGAGATGGATGAGGTCTCCCCGGACTAAGGTATGGATAAAACTAAGATAAAACTAAGATAAAACAAGTTCGACGCTGCTGACCACTTAGCTAAACGATTGTTTGTCCAGTGAATATTTAGGCGTCGGTTCAAGAGATTAAGACGTTCAGTCCATGGTGCATGGGTAACCCTAGATTCTGCTCTTGAATGCTGATAGTTATCCGTTTGATCTCCATATTGAAATGTTAAATGTTAGGATTCTTTGAAATCCGACCAATATAGCTTGACTCGGCCTTTCTTCACCTGTGTTTGTATAAACTCTGGCATAGTGCTTAATGCGGTATATCCACTCACCCAGCTACACCCACCTACCCACTCACTCACCTAACCACACTCACCCAGCGACCAGCTCATTCACTCACTCATTCTCCCAAACCTCTCCGTCTCTCACTCATATTTGTTTGCCAAGCATACATGCAAGTTAAATGTCGCAAACAAACGCATCATTCTTACAACCCATTTCTTTTAGGGCGTAAATAATAAAAATAAAAAATTCTCTTGAGGCAAATCATCAACCCATAAAGCTACCCTTCAATACATATATAATGCATCTCCCCTAGCCCACCCAATCCTCATCCAGACGCCCATCCCAGTCCCTCCCAGAATCCCACCGTTCCCATCCCTTCAACGACCATACAGCTCTACACCCTCCCCTCCCCACCACACACCCGTCAACTTGTTCGTCATTCAGCTGTAACAATCAGACAATAAGTGGGTCCTGTTTAAAGTTTACGTCTCACATTGCAGGATTCAAACCCAGCAACCCCGACGGCGAAGAGACACTGTCAGGGCCAATCCATCAGCACAGCGCCATCTAGACTGATCGAAGACAAGCAGGAACTTCACTTCCAGACCGAGTCCCTGGTAAACTGCACCATATATTCCGTTCGGCGGGACTGGTCAATTTAGTTGGTGGGATTAAATTTGTCCTCCAATTTACCATTCCAATATCACGTAATTTCAAGATTCCGATCACGCGACACCACGGCGAAGGAAACCAATATCTAAGATTCTGTTTGTAAGTATAGATCAGCCTATCGATCGGTGAATAGGTGCAATTATGCTCAAAATCAATATTAGGTTATTTTTTGGAACGTATATTATGGTTCCGTTTCATTCACAAAACCCAATAACATACAGAAATATCTTGTTATCTTTCTCCCGAACATCTTCTAGCTGTAACACTAGATTAGCATTAAAACAGTCTGAGCAAACACAGCATCTCAAGGTTGACAAAAACGCAAACACCATTCAATACTCTTCTTCTGACATTAGACATCATTACAGCATTTGCCAGCCTCCTTCAAAATGGTTCTCAAACACACAACTTCTTAGCCATCATTGAACCCACTACCCAATCAACCCATCAGATTTGTTTCGAGAGTCAGAAACAGTCTCCCAATCTGCCAGGCAGACCGCGAGGAGGCAAACACCGCTTAAGTCTAGCATATATTCTCTTTGCCCTGTCAAAACAGGAGATCACAATTCACAGTCTGAACCTAGATAGCAAGTCCTCTTCCAAGCAATCCAATTTGCACAAGACCCTACCACATTTGGAACGTTGGTCTTTCTAATCTTTCCTCAAATTGACCCTGAACATGAAAATCAGTTCCTTTTCAGACATCGCAGCGCCCTCTACCGGGCGGGCTGTCTCGGATACTTATTGCTGTTCATTGTAAATCTCACTCTCTCAGACAAAGTACGTTTTTCAGTAATAGGCTTTTATGGAGGCCGCTTTCGTGTCTACCCTGTCTTGTCCGAGCAATCCCTTATAGAAATATATACGGCGTTCAAAGCAAAATAGTCCATGGTTATTATGGTGGGTTTGTTTCAGACTATAGCGAATCTGTGTTCTTAACGCTAATAACATAACAAGTTTTTAAAGTTGTGATTTATAACAGACGTCTTAAGTGACATTGTTGGTTGTATTTTCCATCGATCATGATTCCCGGAGACGGGAAGGTGTAATACTATATACGTCTTTCTTTATTCCCATACTTTATCATACACATCGTCTGAATATTCTTAACACGTCTTTTACTCCAGTGGTATAATTTTGTTTGTGCTTTCTGTGGATTCATTTAAAACAGTCTCAATGCATATGCCCCCGACGTCGTTCCCGTGACGACCGTGGCACGCCGACGTTTGTACGTCAATGTTAACATATACGACCGTGTTACGATCGAGTTACGATCGTGTTACGATGTCTTTGTGGAACGGAGCTCTTCGCAGAACAGGAACAAAAAATACATGGATGGTGTTTCTCGCAATTGTTCGAAGTAAGCAAACTGCAAATATGTGCGAAAAATTTGATACGTAGGTGGTTGAAAGGTCCCTGTACCTGCTTGTTTTGGGTTCGAGTCCAGGCAGATTATGATCCGTGACACGTCAGTGCTGGTGATAGTTTGTCTTCTACTAATTACGTTTCTTCCTTTACATTACGGGGCGGTGGGGTAGCCTAGTGGTTAAAGCGTTGGCTCGTC